TGTTATATAAGAATAAGCACGTAGCTTCACTGACGGACTGGCTGACGGTCTATTATTTATTTTGTATTTGTTGACGTTTCAAAAGTACCAAATTATGGTTTAATGGAAATAAATGCTTTGACTTTAACTTTGAGTAGATACTTACTATGCAATGGATGCATTTGAGGTGTGGCCATTTCTCGCAAAGTGAGTTCTCCTCCAAATAAGCCATATCTAATATTGCTCGCTGCTTGCTGACTCGAAACTGTTAATGTTGACACCACCTGGAAAATATAGTGGTATAAATTACTATATTAACACAACGCATGCCTTTTAAACCCAGAGATGTATATTTAAGGATAATTCTGTTAAGGCTGCTTCGTTGGCCGAGTCGTTGCAAGTGCGACTCCTGAGCAAAGGGTCTCGGGTTCGATTTCCAGATCGGGCAAAGTATTACTGGGTTTTTTTAAGAAATTCTCAGTAGTAGCACGGGGTTTGGAAATGTTCCCGGTATATGACAATAGGCTCATAACATAAATAGTGATAAGTGGGTGTTACATTGTATAGTGGCATTAAATGTGTCGTAATGTGCATCTGATCATGTCATGTATGTATGTGTCTGTAAAACCCACTTTTTACCAATAATGTGGTGATCCCGCATGACCCTTTTGTTCTACAGACTGTGAACGCACCGGACACAATCTGGTGAATTACCAAGAGTCAAGTGTAAGAGCGGCACGAAACGGCGAGCAAGGGTAGCTCACCGCCCAACCAGAACCAGACCCGTGCGTAAGGAGCGTCGTGTTCCGCGCGCGCCTCCAAGAACCATTAGACCACCATAGATGGAGCCCAGTAGGGCTAGTGCCCGATACGGAGCCGCGGAAGGCCTAACGGGTTGCCCGGGCTCCGGCTCGAAGAGCAGGAGTAGGGACGCGGTGGTTTTCAGTCAGTAAGAGTCTAACAGTCCTTCTCGCCTAACCCAAGGCGGGAAAAGGCATTGGATGATTTTCCCCCTCAAAAAAAAGGTATGACATAAAAACGCCATTGTAAATTACTAGCCACCCGCCCCGGCTTCGCACGGGTGCAATATGCATGTATTCTACATATAAACCTCTCTTAAGAATCACTCTATCTATTAAAAAAAAACCGCATCAAAATCCGTTGCGTAGTTTCAAAGATCTAAGCATACATAGGGACAGACAGACAGCGGATAGCGACTTTGTTTTATACTATGTAGTGATGGTTAACGACATTTGCAGAGACTAGAATTTTGTTTTTATGGCATATAAGCCGGTAAACGAGCAGACGGATCACCTGAGGGGAATTGGGGAAGGGGAGGGTAATTGGGCCTCCGGTAACCTCACTCACACGACGAAACACAACGCAAGCGTTGCTCCACGTCGATTTTCTGTGAGGCCGTGGTATCACTCCGGTCGAGGCGGCCCATTCGTGCTGAAGCATGGCTCTCCCACACTTATTTACTCTGTTTTAGTAATTGTGTATTAATAATAAAAGATGTTTCTTTCCAGTGCCTTTAGCCAAACGCCACTTTAGCGCTTGTCTACAGAGAGAGTAGAAATCAAAATGTATGGGTATGACACTGACAAGTGTCAAAATTTACGTCAATTCCATACAATTTAGTTTTCTATTCTACATGTAGACTAGCGCTAAATGGCATTTGGCTACAGCTGCAGTTCTGTTGTTTAACAAATAGAGAGACCGCCAATAGACAGTAAATAGTATAATCCCGCATTTATTTTCAGAGAAAAGATTATAATACTTCTGGGCTTATTGTAATACGAGATAACTGAAATAATTGTGTCGAGTTGAGATATCAATTTTATTGAAAATTAAATAAAAGTTAATACCTAATCTGTCTGACGACACTTATTGCTATTGCTCATTTTGATAAGTACCTAATATAAAATAAATTGCATGCCTACGTTTTCGTCCTTACACACTTTTTGTAATGTAGGTAATGTAAATGACTGCCTCATTGGCCGAGTGGTTGCAAGTGCGACTGCCGGGCAAGGGGTCTCGGGTTCGATTCCCAGGTCGGGCAAAGTATTACTGGGTTTTTCTCAGTGGTAGCACGGAGTCTGGAACTGTGCCCGGTATATGGCAATAGGCTCACCCCCTATTACATGGGACTCGTAACATAAATAGTGAAAAGTGGGTGTTACATTACAATGGCAATAAGTGCCGTAATGTGCACCTCTGCCTACCCTTTCGGGAATAAAAGGCGTGATGTTATGTATGTATGTATGTAATGTAATGTGACGTAAACCTGTGGGTATGTTATTTTTTTATGGCATAAGCCGGTAAACGAGCAGACTGATCACCTGATGGTAAACGGTAAACAATCTGCATTGCCCATGGACACAAGTGCGTTAGCGGCCTTTTGGGGATTCATTTTGGAATGAGCACCTAGCTTCATTGACGAAAGACTGACAGACTATTATTTAAATTGTATTTGTTGATGTTTCAAAAGTACCAAATTATGGTTTAATTGAAATAAATAATTTGTCTTTGGGATTATCCTAATTCGTCTATACGACATTAGCAGGGAGAGCCTATTCTACAATGCTATCTAGATAGGTACGCCTTGTTCTTTCTACGAGGTGTCTAGATTTCAATATTTTTAGACACCTACTATAGAGGTATAAATAATTCATTAATCGTTAATGTGACGCGATCAATCGGATTTCAACACATTGTATCACCAATTATATGTCATTTATCTCTTGGTGAAATCTACGTGCTGACTGTCATGTAGGTTTCTCCAGATAGGTGGGTAATCATCACTCCCTAATGTACATAAATTGTTTATGTCCTTAATCACTTATTAATTAATGCCCTACGTGTAGTAAAACAGTGTGAAAACTGCATTTTAATTGCGACAAATCACTCTCATTATTGTTTTTTTTTTATTAGCAGCTAAACTTATTCAGTGGTCATGATCGTCCAGATATTATAGACTTAGGTAAGTATGAGAAACTGCTTTATTTATAAAAGTCATATAGTTTTTTTAAGGGGGGAAAATCATCAAATGACTGCTCCCGCCTGGGTGAGGCGGGAGGGAGTGTCAGGCTCTTAGTGACTAAAAACCACCCAGTTCCTTCTCCTGCACGTCGAGCCGGAGCCCCGGTTACCCGTTAGGTTCTCCGCGACTCCGATAGGTATATAGGTACATAAGGCTGAGTGTCCCAGGCTGATAACTATCTTGGATCGTAAACAAATTAATTTAATGAAGGTAGGTACTAGGTACACACAGAATCAAAATCCTAAACAAGTTAACACCATTTAAAACTTCTAGGAAGGTATTGTAACTTACCTAACCTAGAGATTAGCTCTATGGGTAAAATAATGGGTAAAAGAACATACAAGTGAACACTGCTTACCCAACTATCACTAGCCAATGCAACAACAATGAACAAAACACCAGTAACACCAGACACGAATGCACCAAAAATATAACCTCGGCGGGTAACGGCCATTGTGAACAAAATACACGAAACTAAAGAATTACCTCGCGATATTTCTATCGACAATTATCAGCGATAATGTGCAGCTAATCTGAAGATAATAAGTGAATATTTTATCATGAGTCAGCTTTGTGTTTGTCGTTATGATAGGGGAATAGGTAGTTCGGTTGTTCATCTGTGTTTAATAGGTGTAAACCTAATATAAGACAAGGATATGGCCTTAGGAACATTACTGGGTGCTGTCTCTCTTGCATCTCCCTATCTGAGAAGTCTTCAGAGGTCAATGTTCGACTGTGGATGTCGTGCGGCTGATGTGATAATAATGTCCTTACTGCAACCAGCCATTGAAATACGGCAGCATCCAATGACGTAACTAGGTATACCGTTCGGGGCCCATGGCAAATTCACAGGATACCGGAGTGATATCACGGCCTCACAGAAAACCGACGTGAAACAACGCTTGCGTTGTGTTCCGTCGTGTGCGTGAGGTTACCGGAGGCCTAAGTATCCCCCTCCCTCCCCAATCTCGCCAATCCCTGAATCCCCAACAAACCTCAAATTCCTAATCCCTAAAAGCTAGGTAATGCACTTATAACGCCTCTGGTATTTCGGGTGTCCATGGGCGGCTTCGATGGCTTACCATCAGGTGATCCGTCTGCTCGATTACGGGCTTATCCCATATAAAAAAAACATGTAATAATGTAGGTGCGCCTCTTTGGTCACGGAAATACCGAACATTTTTCTTACTTAATTATGGATGAAAGGAAAAATCTGTAGGCACCAATTAATTCATTATACTTAATCTAATCATTAAGTATAGACATCTAATCGCAATCGATAAGCTACCTTGATTTCTAGTTTACAGAGTTCATATCTAAGAATTGTGTTTACATAGACGATAAACAGATGATCCTATTGATAGTACATTCACCGGGCATTATCCTAGTGATAGGACGGACTTTTTATATGAAATAGATTTGGCGAGGGCCACTATCATGGCAGGTGGTAATTGATGTGGCTTATGATGGAGCACGACTGTTTATAACCAACCTATTCACTCGAACCTTGAAGATACCCAGGTTATACCCTTCAGGAATCACAGACTCTGGCAAAGAATTCCACTCCTTAGCGGTTCGCATATGGGAATTCGAAGCGAAACAGTAGAATGTAATACATACCTTTTACTACTTACGCTAACAATCTAATAATGATTCTATGCCATTTCAATTCACAATACCAGACTCAGTACTATTACTGAGACATATTTGAAAAAACGACAAATGATAACACTTTTTTTATGGCATAAGCCGGTAAACGAGCAGACGGAACACCTGATGGTAAGCAATCGGCGTCGCCCATGAACTCCTGGAACACCAGAGGCGTTACAAGTGCGTTACCGGCTTTTTGGGGATCAGGAGTTTGAGGATCGTTGGGGATTCAGGGATTGGGGAGATTGGGGAAGGGATGGGGTTTTTTTTTTAAGGGGGGAAAATCATCGAATGACTGCTCCCGCCTGGGTGAGGCGGGAGGGAGTGACTAAAAACCACCCCGTTCCTTCTCCTGCACGTCGAGTCGGAGCCCCGGTTACCCGTTAGGTTCTCCGCGACAAGGGAAGGGTAATTGGGCCTCCGGTAACTTCACTCACACGACGAAACACAACGCAAACGTTGCTTCACGTCGGTTTTCTGTGAGGCCGTGGTATCACTCCGGTCGAGCCGGCCCATTCGTGCCGAAGCATGGCTCTCCCACACTTTACGAATATTTTTGATCCAGAAATCGAACCCAAGTAACTTTACTCGACCGTTAGCAATATTGGGTTTGACGGAGTACATCCATGCCATGCCTAAGTTTGGAATCGAATTGAACTCCATTTATTAGTGCTTGCGGTAGCAAGCTGAGTCGTTGGGGAGCACTTCAACGACTCAGAAAATACTTAGAAAAATAAACAAAGCAAACTTTTTAAACTATTTATTAACATTGCAGAAGCATCAAGTTAAAAATATAATAATAATAATAATTTCAATTAGGTACATATTTTAATAAAATATACATATTATACAACATTATTATACAGTTACAAGTGAAATAATTCAATATAAGACACTAGAGAACAATGACGTCATAACGTCTCGAACACCGTCCAAAGAAATTACGACTTTGTCTTAAAATGAATAAGGATTAAAATAAATAAATTAAAATGATTATTAAATACAATGTTTTGGCCGTGCAATTTCATTTTTTTATATATTTTTAACTATCGTGAGACAATAAATTATATAATTTGTACAGCTTACTCACATAGGTATACTATCTCAACCCATGATTAAGGGCCCCGATCTGGCTCAAAACTAATCAGGCTTTCTCGAAAGTAATATAATATGTGATTAAGCTGTATAGACATTTAAATATTTTGTGTAGTACAAAAGCAGTGTCATTAATAATATAAAATATAAATAAAATGACAAAACCAATCTATTAATACTGCGTTTGCGCATACAAATGAATTATTTGGAAGAAAACATTACATACACATATCACGCTTAACTCTTAAAGACTAGTATTGTCTTTAATATTAAATCCATCATTCTAATGACCGTTTTTACTAGCCACTCCTAAATCATCCCCTAAGTAAGAGTTACTTAGCGTGGGGAGCACCTAAACTAACCTTTAAGAGTCACTTATAGGTTGGTAAAAACCACCAAGTTAAGTATCACCTATCTTAGCTTAGGGGTTCCTTAAAATTTCGAAAAGGTTGGTGCAAACAAGTATTACTTTCACGTAGCAGACATGACATTTCATCAAAAACCATCGACGATAAATGTCATTGTATGCGCAAACGCAGCATTTCTTGTCCTCTTTGTATTTATTTGCTGCAGTAAACAGATTCTTAAACCATTATTGCCTATACAGTATGTTCAGAATATTATATCTCTTAATATTACATTAGATATTAATAAATTAATCTATTTATATCGAAAAATATAAGCATGGTTGTCTTCGTGTATATGAAATATTTGTTTGTACCTTCAAGCGATCGTTTGGGCGACAAAACTGTCTAATAGTAAATTTTGTGAGATTTTAAGCCAAACCTCGGATAAAACCACATTGTTTTTTATGCAGCACTTTAACGGCCATTTTCTATAGCCTTTTTTTTTTGATGTCGGAGGGTACCTTCAAAAGGCGCCTAGCTTTTTGGGGAGAAAGACTAGGGAGTGTGGGATTCTTATCTCACTAAAACCACCCCAGTGGCCACCCTCAGCACCTGTAAGGGGCACCGGGTCCGGGTCGGGTAGAATTTTGACATAAGCTCCATACAAAATGTGTCAAAATTCTATCTCAGTAAGCGAATTGACAGATAGATAGGCTATAGAAAATGGCCGTAAGAGTGATGTGTGGACATACATACGATCAGACAGAATAACATTTGGTGCTCTAAAATCCGTTACAATTTTACTATAATTACATATTATGTCGTGGTCACCCAGAGGTTTAAGACGCCCGCTTCCCATGCATGAGGGTGCTCTGTTCGAAACCTACCAACGGCAAGTACCAATGTGATTTTTCCTAGTTATATGTACTTTGTAATATTATCTAGACACCACTGACGAACGGTGAAGGAAAACATCGTGAGGAAACCTGGGCTTATAATTTCTATAAGTTTGTAATCGCGGACCCGCATTGAGCAAGCGTGGTGATTATAATGCTCAAACCATCTACGGGTGAGAAGAGGCATTTTTGAACATAATATGATAAAATTAAAATCTTGAAAATCAGTAGTTAAAGCGCGACTATCGTTGTGATCACTTGAAGGTATCAAAGTATGTATTTGTTAATAGATCATTGTTCAATAAATTTGTACTATGTACTAATAAAATATTGTTGATGTTCAAAAAACTATTGCTATTGATGGCGTCGCATTATTCGAGTGATCGAGTATTACGATAATTAATATTTAGTTTGGAAAATATAGCTGCATCTTTATTGTTTGAATCGAATCAAAGTCGATTGGAGGTCTTAGGACAAATCGTTTGCTAGGATCTCGATTAACGAACTTGTTGTAACAATGAAATCGAATGAAAATAATTCGATTTTTATGACTATTCACATGCTTGGATGTTGTCTAATCAAAAATAGATATTGTTCGAAAATACAGTTTAAGTGCAAAAATACCATTTCAATGCTTAAATTATAGTTGATTTTTTTTACTTTCATTTCTTCTTTAAAAGGAGAATTCAATAAAAAATGTCTTGCAATTGGAAGAATCAGCTTTCAATCGTTAGAAAATTTCTTCTACATTCACTACCCTTCTGAACTAATATACTAAGCAAGTACATTATCAAAATTCCAATTCTATATATATAAAAATGAAACCCGTTTCCCGTTGTCACGTTATTACTTGAGAACGGCTGACCAATTAAGCTGATTCTTTTTCTTGTGTTTATTATTGTCAGGAGAAGGTTCCTATGATAGAAAAGTCCTGAAAATCCTACGGGAACGGGAGAAAACGGGATTGCGCGTACGAAGTCGCGGGCAGTTACGCGTAAATACTGAAAGGCAATTTAATTTTAAGTTGTACTTAATAGCGGTAAGCAATCGGCGCTCATGGACACCCGCTCATGTTTTATTTATATATTTATTTATCATCATCATCATAACATCACGCCTTTTATCCCCGAAGAGGTAGGCAGAGGTGCACATTTACGGCACTTAATGCCACTGTACAATATAACACCCACTTTTCACTATTTTGTTATGAGTCGCATGTAATAGGTGGTGAGCCTATTGCCATATACCGGGCACAATTCCAGACTCCGTGCTACTACTGAGAACTGTAAAAAAACCCATTAATACTTTGCTCGACCCTACTTTGCACTTGAGACCACTTGGCCAACGAGGCAGTCAGTTACTTGTTTCTTCATTTTAATAATCTACTTGCTTAATTTAAATTCAAACCTCACATTTATTACTACATATAACGATTTAAAATTCTCAGACATACTAGACCTACAAATTTGGAATGAAACTTTCGAAAGGTTTGTTAGAAGGAAA